GTTCAGCAGCCTGAAACTGGAACTTAAGAAACAACATTGACAGGCAAACCAAACACTTTGATAAACTCCTATTGCTAGGTTCGCTTCCTTATTTTATTGTTATCCATGATGATAGTGATATGGACTGGCAACTTCTTGAAGTACTAAAGTTTTGTTCAAGTTGTTATTCTTCATGACAAAAGCTGCATATACTATTCTAGAACTACACATGCATTAGTTTTGTACACACAAAAAAGAAAGCTTTTACAAAACTGACAGATAACATTTATTAAAACATGTTATACAAAAAAGGGCATGGGTCTCTTCTATAAGAAGAAAATATTGAACAGTAACATTAAATTAATTAAAACCATGCTGTGCAATTAGGACAGCAATTTTATATAGACAAAACTATCCAACCTTTGCAATACAGGCATAACATCTCACAAAATATCAAGATATGCAACTTTACTATTTTATAAGTAAAAAATTTAGCTCATTGGGGAAGATTCACCTGACTTGCATAAACAGTTACATTTCTGGAAGATGTTCTGGAATCCCATGGAAAACAAAAAATGCAGCAATCAACTGACGCAAGCTTCAAGCAAAATCAGAGTCCGACAGATTCATCACTTAAAAAAAAAAAATACTACTTTGTTTTCCAGCGTCTCCCTTCGGCACTGAGAGCTTAGAGCCTTTGTCTAAAAAACCCCCCTCATAAACACACGTAACTGAGGAATACAGCAACCTTTCTTTACCGTTTTATGGAACTTTCAGTTCTGCAAAACAGACCTGACAAACTAAATGTACTATAGCTTCTTGGGAGTCAAAAAAGGTTATCTTACTGACACCAGCCCAGTCATGTTCTGTTTAGAGGGCTTGAAGGCTCTCCATTATTTCATGCCCAAAAGTATGGGGATGTTAGTGTGGACTTTACAATAAGGACACCAGGATTTGGGAGTCTCTGAGCTCCCCTGTGGACTCTGAAGTGTGGCATTTGCTTATACTCTTGATAAATCAGCTGCTGCAAGTGCAAAGGGATGTGAGTAGTTGCCTAAATTCAGCAGCACATCAGAGGGGAGAACTGAGAACAAAGATCTTCCAGTCATGTCTTTCAGAGTCTTATGTGCTCACCTCTGAAACAAGCGACATTCAAAGACAGACTAGAGAATGACTAGCTAGGCTGTACTTCTGCAGAAAGGGACACGGGAGTTACAGTGGACCATAAGGTAGGAGCCAACTGTGTGCTCTCACTGCAGCAGAGAGCCAACAGCATACTGGCTTGTATTAACGAGTTGCAAATCAAGGGAAATAATCTTTCCATTGGATTTGGGACTGGTGGGGCCTTACCTGGAGCGGGGCCTGAAACTGGACACAGTACGCTTCAAGAAAGCTGCAGACAGATTAAGAGTCCAGCGGAGAGCAACACAAAGGATGAGGAGTAATGCTCTCAAATTGTAGCAGGGGATACTCAGGTTAGATACTAGAAAACTTTTTCATTATGAAGGTGGTTAAGCATTGGCAAAGGATATCCAGAGAGGTTGTGGAATTTTCATTTTTGGAAATTTAAGAGCAGTTAGACAAATACTTGACTAGGATGGTTTAGTTGGGTATCCTTGAGAAGGGAGTTGGACTAGGTGACTTCCTGAGGCCCTTTGCAGCCTTATTTTTTTAGGCTTCTAAGACAGTTGCTCCCTGCAGTTGTGAAGGCAGGGCTTTTAAATACTAATGTACAGAACAGGAACCCCAGTCAAGGAGAATACGACTACTACATCAAGATTCACAGACCCATGAGGAACAGAAGTTTTGAAATGTGTCACCATGGCAGCAGGAGACTTACAGAATTGTAGTTAACTTAAATACCATGGTAACGAACATTTCAAATCCAGTGACTGAACAGACGAGAGAAAAATATAATATCTTTATGAGGTGTAAAGAGAGAGAAGTCCTGCCAATGATGACAATACTTCAGGTGTTTATAAAATGCCCACTTTGATAACACCCCTCAGCAAAGAGACAACACTAAAGTACAGGTGGGAAAAATGAACAAATGTCTCTAAAATAAAGCATAAGCAGAAGTGCTTAAAATTGACCTTAATATGAATGTCTCGTTTCACCCAAAACAGCAAGCATCTTTGTTGCTGGAACAAAGCCATCGTACTAATAGTGCTTGCAAACTCTGCAAAAAGCTGTATCCATACTTCTTTATCTTGGTCAGCTTGAGTGGAACAGGTAGAAGTGAGAACTCTGGAGAAAAATCTTCTATGGCAAATACTTCCTTGTACCCAAGCCATTTAATGTGGTTTAAAACCAAAGATCCAAGCGTCAAGTGTTATAAACATTAATGGAATCACATATGTGGGGTTTCAACACAATGTCAAAACGTTAGGTAGGACAGCATTAGACCAATATTAGAAATTTACCATCCATGACAAGTCACTATAAAGGATCAACATTATTTATATGCAGCTACTGCACCTGTATAAAACCTTTAAAGTGTCTTTTTTAGTACATTTTATTTTAAAGCTCTATTTCAAAGTTATCTAAACATTATTCCTAGTTGCAGTTAACATTTAAAAGACCCATATAAAAGTCATCTCAGACTGGTAGAAGAAAGGGCTTTGCTGGCAGCACTGTAGGGGATGGGTCTGATGGACCGCTTGACTATGGATTCTCAACCTGGGGATTGTGACCACCCTCTTCTTTATAGAGAGATTGGAGGAAGGTCCCCAAAATTTTCAGTTGCAACATGGGGGTCCCTGTATGAAAGAGGATGAAAATGACTATGCTAGAACAACCCTGAAATGAGCAGGAGAATCTTTCCCACAGCAGTAAAGAATGGAACGTGCAGAAAAGTCTTCCAGTACACGGGACTGGGAAGGGAGAAGGTAATGGAAAAATTGGGCCAGGGAATGCTGGAACACCGCCCTCTATGCTTTTCTGAACAGACAAGGAAATAGCCTGTTACCACTATAAATTTCAAGATTAAAAAGACAGTGTTAACATGGAAACAAACTATTGAGGGAATATATCATTTCTAAGTTTAAAAAACATACTTATAAAGATTTTTAAATACAAAGTGCTTCTATACATTGAGCAAGTTACAGTGTTAGTGAGCAAATCCCTGTTTAGTTACCTTGATTACAAGGGCTACACATGGCCACATGGTTTATTGTAGAGTCCAATTAAGTGCTAGGAACAGGAACTCCTTGGTGCTGGGCCATTTGTATCCATTGCCTGCAATGGAATCTTCATATTTGGGATCATCTATTTTAACAAAATTCCATATGAAAAATATCTGAAGAATTGACAGAGTAAAATTTAAGAGCCTTCAAGACAAAATAATTTTACTTAAAAGTTTATAATTAATATGCCAAAACAGAAGTGACCAGAGATAGTAGCCCGACAAGCAATAAACGCCACCTTGTCCCAGACATCCATCTTCGGGAGACAGTCATAGCTGGTAGCCACTTGAAGCAGGCTAGCAATTGTCCCAAACTGTTATGCTGGAAGTGGGTTGCAAGCACATGGACTCTCACCCATTCTGATCGTGACCCATTTATGCTAAGGAGGCTCCTTTCATCTTATGTCGGGCCGTAAAGTACAAAGTAAAGTTAACTGCTTTTAAGTAGGAGTGCAAAGGCTTTCAATTAGTAAATCCTAATGTCAGCATTACAACTGATGCATCCACTCTCACCTGCAGGGCTGGTAGCATCCCTCAAAACTACAACATTGCTCCACACAAACTGCTAGAGCATGAGTCCAGTGGATAACACATCTTCTTCATGGAGCACAAGCACCGCCTTCTCACTGTCAAGGATCCAGAAGTTGCTCCCAAGCTTGAAACTTTTCTGCAGCCCTATATCCCACTGTACCATTAAAAGGGATCCCAACTGGGCAATTTAAGTGGTCAGCAACAGGCTTCATTTGGAGGGGAAACAACTCTGGCTGCTTGTGGCTCTGGAAATGATCAGAGTCACAGTAGTTCAGTACCAAGAACCTGTACTAAAAACCTGACTGGTCAAACAGTAAAGGATTAAGTATTTAAATAGTTTGTCTGTGACTAACAACCACTTACTGAAGCAAGTGTTTAGAAGTTATGAACTAAAACTAGATAGAAATTTTCAAATACATTTTAGTACCAAAAACAAATCTGTTTGTACTGTTCACTGAGTTTGGTACTTGCTGCTGCAGTGATCCATTAAATTCCAAAACAAACTATAGTTTAAACGCTTAACTGAGTGTACTGGATTAATACCAACTTTGCAGGGTTGGTTTGGTTTTTTTGTTACACATTTTGACAGTTGGCCACCCGTGCAACTGCTAGATGTTCTGTTATGATGTAGTAGTTAAAAAGGCAGCCAGACTTGCCACAGCATTAGGCTCTGTTAGGCCAAGACAGTTATAATTTGATTCAGTCTTAAATATATGCACTGTCCAACAAGATATAACCAAGTGCTTTACAAAAATGGATAAAAAGAATTAGGCCCAATACCTAGATAGGACCAGATACTTTACCAAAAATAGGCAGAAAAATTATCCAAATAATAGCTTTCCATCAAATGCTGTGGCACTCTAAAGGCTACTTAAGTTACCTATGTTAAGGGTGTTGGTGGTCTCTGTTCAGTTGCAGGCAGACAAGTTATTCTACAGGTAGAAATCTTACTCGTTTAAGAGCTTTGACTCCTGCAAATAGTTAGGTTTACCAGACTAGCAATCTTGTGGTGGGGTTATTGTTGTCCACTTCTCAATAAGGCCACTCACATGCATACAGTTATACAAAGAAATACATATTTGCAGGATTGGAACCTTTAATAACTCTTTTGGGGATTGGGCCTCACTATGTGTTTGTATGACACTTAATAAAAGAGGATGCCCAACAAGGAAAAAGTTACCACAAGTGGCCTCACTATTTACAGATTACAAGTCTCATGAATTAGCCACCTGAACATCTTTTACATCTAAAGCTTGTAGAGTGGCATCAGTAGATGGACAATAAAATCTGATCTGCTTGAATCAGCAACACCCTTAGAACTTTAAAAAAAACCACCCTAAAATGTCACAATAGCAAGTACCAGACAGTATTTGCATAATTAACTTGTTTTGCTTACTCTACTAAACAACATTTACTATGTTTCAGTTCATCTCAGTAGTATTCTGCTCAACTTTGGTAGCCTGGTATGATTTACTACAAGAAGTGACATGCCGATGAAAACTGTCCCGCCACATAAATCTTTTCCCACAGATGTTACACTCATATGGTTTGATGCCCGTGTGGATTTTCATGTGGCCAACAAGGTGGTGTTTCATTTTGAATTTCTTACCACAGACCCCGCAGCCGTAAGGCCGAAGGCCAAGGTGCATACTCATATGCCGATCCCTCTGGCTCTTGTGTGTAAAGCTTTTACCACACTGACAGGGATACAGTTTGTCAGCATGCGAGAATCCAGAGAGGGAGGTTTCTTCTTTAATTCCTGCAGCCATTTCAACATTTTCACCATACCCTGCTGCTATCATAACATCTGGTCTGTGAACACTTCCATTTCCATCTGCCCTTTCACCTGAAAATTCTTCCATAGAAGAGCCATAGAAATCAACTTGCTCATCATAGTTACCCTCATCACCCTGTTCATCAAATTCTGGTTCTATCTTTTTGTCGCTGATGTGAAAGTCTTCGACACCTGAAGACTGGATAGGATGCTCTGGCTGAATGGCATTCATGGACTCGGAGACTTGGTGCTCATCATAAGGATTATCTGCACCTTCACAGTCCTGTTCAAATCTTTCCGGTTTCACATGGATCCAACGTTTGTGTGACATGATGCTGGGTTTGCTGTAGAGAGGTCTTGTATACTGATATTCTGCACTGTCGCTAGCTCCCTCTTCGCCATCCTGACTTGTCATTCCTGTGCTTAGTCTGTCATGTTCCGTTGAAGAGTTACTGGGAAGATACTCATGTTCTGTTACTTGAGATGACAACTCATCTTTCGAGCTTTCTTCTTCATTTTCACCATCCCTTAGCTCTTGCCCTTTGTGGAAGTCAGTCTGTCCGCCAGAACCCAGCTCAAAAGTTTCAACAAGGCCATTATAACTGCTGCTGCTTGGGGACTGATGATCACTGCCATGATTCATCTTCTGACAAAGCACTGTTGGGTTCCCTTCTAGCACTTCTGTACATTTGTCTACTACATGCCACATCTGAAGAAAGCTTGCTGCTGTCAAATAGCTGACAATTTCTGGGGCAGGCATGACCAGGCGACCCGTGTAAGTAGAAAGAAGAATATTCTCAAATACCCTTGGATTCATCACATCAGGCAGGACTATTCGTCTGCTATTTTTCAGGAGCACTTGGTCGCAGAAGTATGGGGAGCTGGCTGCGAGGACAGCTTTATGGGCTCTAAAGAGATGGCCCTGAACTACAATGGAAACATCACATAACTGTCCTTGCTGGCGCTGCTGGTTCAGCTTCTGTAAAATGGTGCTAGAGAAGTCAGGAAATTCCACTCTAAAAGAACTTGACCCAGACTCCATTTCATTACAAGTTAGTGCTGTGCTGCAAGAGAGGAAAAAGATCACCAGTTTCAAGACAACGTCATCAGAAATTCTGGTTAGTTATGTTTGCTTGGGCCGCTTTCTGAGGTTCAAATCTCTCCTTAAAGGAGGGACACTTTAATTAGGCCAAGATGTTTGGATCAGCAGGTGTACAGAACAGAAAATAAAGCTTTTACAACTTTAATGTGTTTTCTTTATTCTTGTTTTTTTGTTTTCTACAGAAAGCAAGTTATTATCCCACCACTTCCTATTGCACCTTACCCAACCACAAAAACAATCTGTGCACACGTACAAGCTAGAGTGGTACCAGCAATTACTCTACCCAGATACAATGATCATTCGTGCATGTCCTTAAGAGGGCCAAAAGGTAAACAAGTAACCATCTAGCCAAATTACAGCAATAGAATGACTTGTGTTAATACAAGTGCTGGGGCATTCTAGACAAGTGGCAGAAATAAACTCAGTTTACCAACTGCCAGCCAAATCTCAACCCCTGCCCTTGAAAGCATAGCAATGCTTTAAAACTGCTTCACAGTTCAATACACTGCAAGAAAATGACTAGCAGAATTGTAATTAAAGTGGAGTTTGTGACTTCCATCCATTTGCAACGAGAGAGAGAGAGAGAGAGAGAGAAAAGTAGATGCTGCAGAGCTGTGAAACAGTAAGAACACTGAAGTAACATTAAAATTTATTACAATCCCCCTCAATTTAACACCTTTTAAATTCAGTGTTTTTCTTGTTTAAACTGGAAACAAACCTGAACTCCTTAGAAATTCTCTCAGTGTAACAATGCAACAAAAGTTAAACCCAAGAGCTCAACAAAGAGCTTGATGAATATATTAAGGATTTTAAACTATCCAGCTGTTTAGTTACAGAGGGAAGAGAAATATCTGGATTTAAACAGTTACATAGTAAAGAAACAGTCTTTTAACTTAATGTTTTAAAAGATAATAAATTATAACTAACAGCCCAACAAAATGTAAAGTTACTAATCCTTAACATAAAAAAACCCTTATTAGGAATTCAAGCACAACTATAGAAAGACCCATTTTAACTGCATAGGTAAATTTGTAGATTATATAACTAAAATGTTTTAGCACAAGCTTGCACCTGGTCCAAAGCAGAGAAATGCTACTTTAAGTTTTTAGAATTCTCTTCCCCATGAATGACATGAAAGGAAAAGACTTTTTTTATGAAAGGAAGAAACTGTTAAACAGTTATAGGTGCTAACAGGAATAACACTTTTCAATGACTAATATCGGAGGAGCCTCCCATCCCATCCCCTCCCCTCACCCCAAAACAAAAACTTATCTTGGGTCTTGTATAAAGGCTTGTCTAAATCTTATTGAAGATTGGAAGTAAAATTCTGGAAAAAGAAAACCCATTAATTCAGACTGAAATAAAAATGCAACTGATTTATCAGGTGGTTCTTCCTACATAATTGATTAAAAATATACGCGTGTGCAACACACAGCATTTGAGACAGCCAAAAACCCAGTAGTTTGAAGCTGAATTGAAGCAGAACTAAAATAGCATCTGGGCTCTGGGTGACGCATTCAACAAGTCTAAAAAAAATATGTATGTAATCCATGAATATACTTTTCAGTGTGAGAGTTTGGAAGTGACAAGTTACTTGAAAATGACAGTGTTTCTTCCTGGAGAATTTTATGTATGCTCAATTTCACAAGTACCACAATATCAAACAGAAAAAACTGAAAGTAGCAGCACCACCATTTACATACTTATACATTGCTTCTTAAGCCCCCAATAACAATTTAATTAGCAGTTCATAATCATGCAATCAGTTTCTGGTATTTTGGAGGGAGAGATGAAGTTTGCCTTTTAAATGGAAGTTTTTCCAGTTCCTCCACCCAAGGTTTAAGTAGGAGGGAAGGAAGACAAGGCAGGTTGTGTCAAAATATTTCAGAAGGAAATTGTAAAAGAGGAGATTACCCCACTGTCACATACCCAGCTAGAGGTGGAGAATGCTTCCACAAAAGGAAACACATGGGAGCTAGAAAATTAGTAACAGGACTGCAAATCTTTAGGATTTACAGGAAACCCACCCCAGAAGTCCTCGCAAACGTTGAAATGAGAGCCTTTTACAAGACTATGCCCACTTTAGTTCCATTTCAAAGTGTCTAAATCAGCCTTACTTTTCATAATACTACTCTATTATGCAGAGCTATACAAAATATAAATTGCCAGGGGGGGGGGGTGTGGAGTGCGTCATAATTTAGGTTGCAAACACCACGGTAATAAAATGAACACATTTTTCTCTTTCCTGAAAATTAATACAAGGTTTACAAAGGGTAGTTTCTCATGCAACCCTAGATACATCCCTTAAACCTGCCATTAAGGGATGGCTTTATAGCTAAAAAAAAAAAAAAAAAAAAAAAAAAATCAGTCTGGCACTGTGACACCATGGTCAGATGTACCATTTCACAGGTGGAAACCCTACTAGCCTATATCACAGGATATTGTCAGGCTTAATAAATGTTTTATTAAAGACAGTTTAATAAGATTTAAGATGCTAGGTAAAAGTCATTTTTAGTGGAAATTCTTAGGCCGAAAGTGGCCTAATAAGGCACCACTTTAATACATCAGGCTAGTATCTGCCTTCTGGTTAAGAAATTTGCCAACTGCACTTGCAACAATCCAAAAAGAGTTCAGCCCCTATGAACTGCTTGAGCCAATAGAGAACGCCAGAGTAAGATGTCCATTTGTACAGTGTGTGATATTTTCAAAATGCAGTCCTATATCTGGAATCTCTATATTAAGAATTAAAAAGCAACATCATTACATTTCCTGCTTTGCAGAAAACAACTGATCAACTTTAGCCCATCATGATGGAAAATTATGCTCAATTTGCATTCTAGTCAATCTGAAGTATGAGCCAATCAAAGTGCTGAGTGGCTGATTTCCTGAATTACCACCATATATATTAATAGACAGTATCATATTTTAAAAGATCCCTTATTAGAAGGGAGGTTATTTCTGAAGCCCTCCCATGAAGTCAAACTGGCTCACACATTTCTAAAGACAGCCCTACTTTGAATTAGGAACCAAGCAATTAGAATGACACAGCACCTTTAACCCCAGCTAGTTTCATTCACCTTCTTTCAGCCTTGCTCACTTTTTACAAACTGTTCCTCCTTTACATGAACACAACTACCCATTTCAGAAAGAGCCTCCCTTTCTTTAGGCCTTTTCTCAGACAGCACCATCCCAGATAAAAGAAACCCAGCCCCACTGCAAGAATTTCAGCTTGCAAATACAGCACACTCCCTCTAAGCACACAGCTTTGGTACGAAAAAGGTTGTGCACTTACCCTGAGCATGCACTTAATGCAAACAAACCTCACTGAGTACACAGCATTTGCAGCACTTGAGACTTAACCAGCGTTGCTAATAGCACTGTAGTATTAGCAGAAAAACTGACTAGCGTTTGTCCTTTTTAAAGCTTCTAATAAGCAGCTTAGCGGATGCTACTAGAAAACTCAGAAATGAAGGGAGAGCGGTCCTGAAGCTGACTAGGAACCATGGAACCGACTACCTCCCTTCATCTGCAAGGCTTCCAAAAGCAGCCTCTGTGACGGCTCCTCTCTCTCCACTGTATCAGGTGTAGTTGAAATGAGAACAATTACAGTCATATTGAGCATGCACTGCCTTGAATATAATTAAGTTAAAGCAGACAGTAGAGCTGAAATATGCTGCCTACTTGACCAACATACACAACTGATATCTGCTTATGGTTCTTGTCACATACAACAATAAGCAAAACATTAGGACTGGCATTGCTACACAGCTAAACAAATTAAGTACTTACAGCAATGATTCTCAACCTTTTTAGACTCAAGACACCCCTGGAGAGACTCCTCCAGAACTTGTGTGAATTGAGCGGCACCCTGTTTTAAAATACGCCTTTATTACAGTGCTTACTTTCTTGCAAAGGGGCCCGGCAGTAGCCAAGCAGGGGCAAGCCTGAACCTGCACTTATTCCCTCACACCTGCTTATCTCAGCACAACTCAAAGCACCCTTCAAAAGATCTCGCATCACCCTGGTTGAGATTCTCTGACTCGCAGCGTACGCTAGTACGTATGTACGTACGCACACTATGCAGCCTACGACGGCCAGTCCCGCAAAGCGAGCTGCATGGATGCAGAAACAGTGCAGTCACGTGAAATTATTCTTGGCATTGCTGAATCATGCAACAAGAACACACAAGGGCAGCTCATCATTAATACTATAATGGACAATTATGTTAATGTGCAAGCTCAATGCATAAGTCATGACGTTTTTGTATCTCTTCTTACACTAGGAGGAAGTTGTTAATTCTTTGCCAAACATTCCCATATTTTGGAATTACTTCCCATGCAACATTTGCTGGCAATCACTTTTTTTTCCTTTCTAATAGTGCTACGCTAATTGAAGTTAAGTGCACTGAAATAACATGTGACTTGAACTACCACCTCTCCACAGCGTACAACTGAAACATGAGGAGACACCACGCTAAATCCACATATTTCCTGCGGCATAATATTTCTAGGCAGGATTACTGGTTTCTTTTATGTGGGCAACTGACATGAAAGACAAGCGCTTTACACGAGCAGGGCAGCGAGCCCCGCACGTGCTGTCCAAGCCCTTCTTCACCTGCGTTACCAGAAGCCCAGATGTGGAAGGGGAGATGACCTGTGAACCGTGGCTGGACGCGCGCTGCTCGCGGGCTGTTCTGTCGGCATGTTCCTGGCGGGTCGGGCGCAGCAGGCGACGCCGTCCTTCCGATGCGTGCGCGGCTCCCTTCGCGGCCTCTGCCAACCACATCCAAAGACAAAAGCCATTCGCTTGCCAGACGCGGGTGGCGCGAGGGCAGCTTCAAGCCAGCGTTTCCCC